AGGTGGTCATAATAATCTGGACACTAGGGTGTGTGTGTGTGTGTGTGTGTGTGTGTGTGTGTGTGTGTGTGTGTATAGTAAGGAAGGCAATTCATGCTATGATAGCCAGGTTTTAATCAGAATTATATGCTTAATTAAGGGAATAAATGGAACTAGAGCCCAGGTCTCTTTCAAGTCCAGTATGCCTTCAGCCACATCAGACTGCCTCTTGTTCATGAAAATGACAAGCATTAAAAAAGTAGGTATCCCTTTAACATTTATTACATCCATCTGTTAAAGCATTTATCAAGTCATATGTGTTATTAATCTTTGTATCCTGTTCCCGGTACTTTGTAAGATGCTCAGAAAATGTTTGTTGAATTGAAACTGTCGGCCTTAAACTGGAGGGTGGAATGTTAGAAACAGGTTGATTTTAAAAAGCATTAACTCACTTAATAAACTTAGAAGCTGAATCATTTATCCTCTCAAAATTTATAGGCTATAAATTAAAAGGAGAGAAGGAGTTTTAGATGTTTTCTGCAAATGTTTGATAACTCACCTGAAAAGTACCATTTGCTACCTCCTTCAAGGTAATATTTGTTCTGTATTAACCATGTAGTATTTTTTTAAACTTTAAGAAATTATGTTTTCCTAATAGAAAATAGTTATTTATTAGTACATAAAATTTAAAAAGTACAGAAGAATATTCCATGGAGAGTATTCTCCTAAGTCCCATTCCCTTGCTAACCAGTTCTGGGAGGCAGCCAGTGAGTTTTGTTTCTTTTCTACCTTCTAAGGAGATTCTGTGTGTTTAAAAACAATCACTTTAGTGCCCAGCTGGTGTGGCTCAGTGGTTGAGCGTTGACTTATGAATCAGGAGGTCACGGTTTGATCCCCGGTCCCCAGGGCATGCAGGAGGCAGCTAATCAATGGTTCTCTCTGATCATTGATGTTTCTCTTTCTCCCTTCCTTCTCTGAAATCAATAAATACATACTTTAATAAACCCCACAATCACTATTTTTCCTTTTGTTCCCCCCTCCCACAGTTAATAACATACCTTAATACATTGTTTTGCACCTCAGTTTTTTTCTCCCCATGTAACAACAATATCTTAAGTGTGTTTCATATCAGTACAGAAGGCTTGGTGATATTCCATTGTATGGGTGTACCATAATTTATAAAACTAGACCCTGGCTGATGGATGTACATTTCCAGTTTTCTATGATTATAAACAGTAGTCAGTTGAATAACCTCCTTCATTTTTCATTTTACTTTCAGTTCCTAGAAGTGGAATAATTAGGTCAAAGACTGTATTCCTTTGTAATTTTGTATTTCTGAATTTTTCTTCATAGAGATTCACCAACAAGTGTATAACAGTTCTTGTTTCCCTGCACCCAGGGAATCAGTGGTATCAAACTTTTTGATCTTTGGCAGTCTGATAAATGAAGAATCATCCATTTTTTACTCCATTCTTTCACTCTCATTGGAGTTTGTTCTGCCAGCCTACTGACGAGGTACAAATTCTATAGATCGGCTATCTTAAACCAATTGCTTAAAAGCAAGCAATTCTTAGAGGTAATCAGAAATTTGTTGAGTTTTTTTTTAAAACTGTTATGATGATGTTGCTTTAAGAAATATCTAGGTCTTTTGCCCCTTGAGCAAACTGTCAACCCACGCACCAGAGGGTTTTGGGTTTGATTCCTGGTCAGGGCACATACCTGGGTTACAGGTTCGATCCTGCATGTGGGAGGCAACCAGTCAATGTGTCTATCTCATATCAGTGTTTCTGTCTCTTCCCCACCCACCCTCCCTTCTATCCTAAAGAAAAAAAAAAATCAATGGAAAAAGATCCTCAGGTGAGGATTTAAAAAAAAAAACAATAAGAAAAAGAATATCTAGGTCTTTTTGGTGAGTCTCTTGTAAGTAGTGGCCTGTACTGGTAGGTTTCTGTCCTGTAGAATGATGCCCTTTCCCTCCCAAATAAAAATCTTAACCTATTACTTTTCTACTGATGGCAGGGAAACACTATTTCATAAGTAATATAGTATGTCCTTGTTTGTCAGTCTTTTTTTTTTTTAAATATATTTTATTGATTTTTTACAGAGAGGAAGGGAGAGAGATAGAGAGCTAGAAACATCGATGAGAGAGAAACATTGATCAGCTGCCTCCTGCACATCCCCCACTGGGGAAGTGCCCGCAACCCAGGTACATGCCCTTGACCGGAATCGAACCTGGGA